TTTCATTTTTAACAAATAAATAGAAAGATTACAAACATCAGGGCTAGTGGTCAACACACAAGAGTACTCCATCATTTCAAACGACTTGTCTTGCAACTTAAGTCTCCTGGGAGACCAGAGGTCACATATGAAATCAACTGTTCACTGGCCCCCCAAAATATACTGGACTATTTACTGTGCAATGTGTGCTAACATTGATGGATATCAGAGATGGGTCAATGCTAATGTACAACAACCCATCCTGTTTTAAAGGACCTGCTGCATATATAAAAGGATATAGAGATCACTACATCACTGTCCAGAAGACCCAGATGACTGGTAGTATCGGGATGCCTAACCCCATGCCTGCATGATACTTATGTTTCCCCAGTTGCTGAATACACACTGGGGGAGGACATAATGACTGATGTTGTGCTCCACGCCATGTAGCGTTGACTCTCCCACAGGCCACATGGGTTGTGTACATGAAGCAGTACCGGTTGCCTGGAGGCCACGAGGAGATGGGACACATTGTCTTAAAATTAAAAAAACATGAGTGACACTCCCTAAACACAGCCTTTCAGTATGGCCCGTGTAGAAGCTACATGAGTCATGGCGAATTACTCTGAAGTCTCATCCTGACACTGGCAGTCAGGACCAATTTGCCTTTACCCAAGAAGGCAAGCAATGGACCTTCCAGATGTTGCCATCAGGCTTTGTGATGGCATGGCCTAGTAGTCCAGGATCTGGCCACGTGGGACAAGCCACAATCTGTGTCACTGTTTTAGATTGATGATATGATGTTAACCCAATTGTCTTGCAGATTAAAAAGCCACCGTGCGCAACCTGAAGAAAGCTTTGCTGACATAGGGGTGAGCCACAGACAAAGACAAGGTCCAGGGAACAGGCTTGCCTGTCAAATTCTTAAGTGCTATATGATTGGGTAAGACCAGACCCACGACAATATACCAATTACAGGTGTATGTGTATCTGCTAGGTTTTCGATGGATATGTCACATCTAGCTCTCCTGCTGTCCTTTATACTAGATGACCAAAAGAGGTACAACACAGTACTAATAGATGCTACAGACGCTGCTTGCTGGACTGAAAGAGGGCTACTGCATAGGTGAAAGCCCTACAATTCATAGACCTTAACCTGCCATTTATCCTAACAATCTCTGTGGATGATTGTAGAGTTAGCCAAGGCCTATGAAAAGAAAAACAGGGTTTTGATCACAATTATGAAGACCCAAGAGCTGATATTTCCTAATTAAAACAACAGCAACAGTATATGCTGCTCTGCATGCCTATGAAAAATCATGAGATAGATATGGGAACAGCACATTTCAAGAAGGAAATGGCATAGGGCCCCACTCTCATATGTTGGGGGACATAGCTCCAATAGTAGGCACCTTTCTTAGCCTGTTGGCAGCCAAACTGACAATGGTTTTGGGACCCATGTTTTGAGAACCATTCAGGATGGACTCTAGGACATGACCCCTAGTCCCCCTACACAAAAAGAGAAGAAGGATCTCTGGCTAATCCGGGGGATTCTGATGGGTCTGGCTGTGACCCAACCCTGCAAGGGACAGCATTTTGCTCTCTAGAGCAGTTCAGAAGTACTCTGGTTTGGAACCAAAACAGGCAGGTTAAGCCTATGGGCAGAGTTGCAGACAATGTGATTGCTTATAATACACAAAAAAGACCCCCTACATGTGTAGCCCAGACAGCTGGGCTATCTTTAGTGGGAGGTGGCTTGGGAAGTATAGGAATGACAGAGATCCAGCCCTGGATTCACTGCTCCGCGATCAAGTGGGGTCAATCCAGATGGGAACACTCAGAAGAGGCAACACATTCAAAGCCCTGCACCTGCCACTCTGGAAGCTGGCAGGTCAATGCACGGCTGAAGATAGAATGGACATTGTGTGTTGCAGTACATGTCCTGAGTGACTGATGTTCTCTTATCCTGGTTGGGTTTTGACTCCTTTTTCCTCACTAATTTTAGTGTATCTGAGCTGTACCCCAGAGGACTGGAACGTTCCCCAGAAAAGCACCTTCACTGTTTTCTATATTAGTGTAACTACTGTACCAGGTACCTTGATCTGTTTTGTCAAGTTATAGATCCAATTTATTATTACTCTCCTTGGGTTCTGGCTCCATATCTCCTGTTAATCTCAGTGTTTGTTAGTAATCTCTGGTCCACAATTCTGACAGCCCCATAAAAGGGTTGTCTTTGTCCTCTGTTATATAAACATAATTCTTGAGATACTTACCTATAGCTGTACAACAAAAGTAAAAATGACTCTCCTATGGATTATATATTAACATTTTAGGAGTATATGAAAATTCAAGACATTCAAAATTCTAGGTTCAAATTGAAGGTTCGTATCCCAAGATTATTCTTAATCAGATCAGATGAGACTCATCACCAGCTATAGTAGGTCTTCATTTTAATGCACACCAAAGGCAGACTAGAGAAACCACTGTTATTCCTCAGGCTGTGGATTGGCAATGAGAATACCATTTCAATAATCAGTATGTCTGCTTGGAATGGCAATAGGTTAAAAAACATTACCTGCCTCCTTTTAAAAAAAATCTATTCTGACCCAAGTGGGATTATGTTATAGATTAGGGCAAATCCAAAAATGGTCAGTTAGTTCAACTTCCCTCTAGACAAACCTGTCAGAAGGTAACTTATAACCCATTACTGTATACTCTTTAAGATCCCTCTCATGGAGATTGGACATCAGGCTGCTATATTAGAGTCCAGGTAAAAAGACTCATGGCTTGTTGTAAGATATACAACGGTCTGGACACCTTCTACACCCTTCTCCTCCTAGGATTTCTTCCCCAACACCACTGGTATTTCCATTGGCCTCTGCACCTCTTGCAAACCATACTGGGCCCCCACCTCCTGACCTCCTGTGTCTGGTTAATGATACCCATCAGGTCCTTCAAGCTGTAAATCGAGACGTGGGCAATACAGTTGGCTCTTTCAGTCCTTTCCTATTGAGTGTTAAGTACCATTCACAATAATTTTAAACTTAATGCGACTAGTGCTCCTGATCACCTGCTGCAGCTCCATCCAGCAGTGGTAGGAAAAATACTTCCTGCTTTTTAGGTTACAGGTAAAGGTCAGAATGCTTCTGCTGACTGTAAAGATGTGTTGGCTGTCACCTCAGGTTCTCTGGCAGCCCCCCAAGCCACCCCAGAACTTTCTTTGTGCTAATGGGTTATATCGCGTGTTTGATAGCACCAAGATGAGTCTATGTGCACTTGCTTTTTTGGTCCCCAACCTCTCTGTTTATTCAGGACAATGAAGACCTACACATACCACAGTGATGTTGGAAACAGGACCCAATGCTACTAGCTGGAAAAGCAAGAGCAGGGAGTTTGACACTCGGGGCTACAGCTATGGCTGTAAGCCAACACCGTACTCACATTTAAGTGTTCAAATTGCTGGAGATTTTGCCAATATACAAATCTCAACAGACACACTACAGGACCAAACAGGCTCCTCAGCTGAGTCTTTCTTCAGAATTCAAGAACCCTAAATCATCTGACAGCCCAGTATGGAAGTACATGCCTTTTCCCAGGGTACAAATGCTATTATTATGGTAACAAGCCAGAAATAGTAATAAAAACTCCCATCAGCTGTAGGAACACCTCAAGCATAGGATTCCAAATCTTATGGGAGGCTCTTCTTGGTGAAGATTTTTTTCTCTCCTCACAGACAGGAGCCATTCTCGAACCACTGATAGCTTTGTTGGCAATTTTTGCAGGGCTTTGTGTGATCCAATATCCTGACATGCTTCTTGTCTGATTGCAGGGAAGCTATGCCCCACCAATTCCTCTTACAAGTTACTGCCCCTTACCAGCTCCTCAAAACTAAAGAGACCAGAGAAACTGAGGGAGAAGACTGTAGCAAGATTGGGGGGAAATGTAAGAGCACAATTATACAATTAGTAAAGGCACAGTTACAAAATAATAAACTTATAGACATGTTATAGCAAGTTAAAAACCAATAGCGTCTGCCTGTGCCCCTGCTACCTGGCACATAAACAATCTACTAAATTCAGCCAGCCTGGACTGGCTGGGTCCAGCTGCTTTTCTGCTGATAATGCACTGGGCCAATTTGACTATTCTCAGCTATGATTTCCCTAATTAAGAAAATACATTGCTTCTAACTGGTTTCAAGGGCTTTGTTTGGTGAAATAATCCAGTCAAAGACACATTTTAACTCTGCTTGCTCCCCTTAAACCCCCTCCCCTTGACCTCAGGGTGCTCCTATATTATGATAAACAATTCCTTTTAAGAAAGTATGTTTAGTTTTCCTGACAATATTATGACTTAATTCAATCCATGTGACCAATCACTTATTCTTCCTGCTTATAACCTATTTTTAAACTGGATTCAAAGCTGGTTCTTTGCTAATGATTTGGACTTGGTCTCACTAGTCTGGTAGAGTAATAAACAACTGCCTCCTACATTCCTTGGTGCAAAGAGTCTTCCAGTCAGCTTGAGAGTGGATTTCCCTTAACACTATAAATTTGGAAACTAAGAAGTAGTGAACTGAATAGTTGGCAGTCTGGGTCAACCTAGACAAAGAGAACATTACTAGGCAGACATAGAACTTAGGCAAAAGGGGAACAGAGTCGTTGGTTGTGGACTGAGGAATAGAATAGTTATTCAGTCTATGTGGAAGTCGAAGAATCAAGGGAATGTTGCCATGGTCACAGTGTAAGACATTTAATAGTAGAGGATGAGGCTTAGCAGGCATCCATGAACTTAAGCTACAAAACATTGTGTTCCTAAATAAAAAGCCTCATTAACCAAATATATTAGAATCATTTCTAAAATAATAATGAAGAAAAGCAATATTCAGTAACTTTATATCTGTAAAATGTAATATCCAATATGAAAAATCTATAAAGTAGGAAGTACATTTAAAAAAGTATTATTTACTGTCTTATAGAACTGAAGAGCAGAGCAATGAAGTACTTTTTTGATAAAATGCAAACCTTTACTAGCTTTGTCCAACGGTTCCAAATCATCCACAAAATTCACGATATCAGGATACTTTTCTTCACATATTTCTACCAGGAAATGAAGTAGCGTTGTTTTCTGGTCTGCTGATTTTATGTCCTTTAACTATACAAATGAGAGACAAAACAGACATATTTTTTTATTTTCTACCTAGTCAAATAATATAAACACTCTATTTTATAAAATTAGTTTCAGTTATACAAAACAAATAAATATTTGAAAAGCTAATTTCTACTTGTTTAGTAAAACCACTGACATGATTTAAGAAAGTAAAATGTATTAATACGACAAACATTCTAGTAAAATAATCATATCTGGAAGCTCACTGGGCAGAGCTTCTCTCAAGTGAATGAACCTGTGAATAAAGTCATACAAAGTCAGGGAAAGGAGGAACAAAATTCAAGTATACAACATCACAGGCAGGCAGAGCAGCATGTGAAACGTGGTGCTGTGATTTGGACTTGGTTTTATGCAAGGACTTGTGTGTGGCAATGGTAGCATGTGGAATTTTTAGAGATGGAACATAGTGAGAGCTTTTTAGGAACGAAAGGATTTCTCCTGAAACTCTCTGGCCATTCTCACAGAAGGTATTTCTAACATCACTCAATCTCTCTCATTCCAGACCCAAGATGGATGTGATCACCAGCTCCTGGACATCTGCACTGTTGGCATGCAGTTAAAACAACCCTCATTGGAACTGAGCCTAGCCAAATACCACAGCCCTGAACTACCAAAAATGTGAACTAAAAACTTTTTTAATGAGTTAGCCACCTCCAGTATTTTGTTACAGTTAATGGAAAGCTGACTAAGATGCAGCTATAGGAGAGGAAGAATATGGTATATCTGAGCAGGCCAAGTGGTCCCAAAATAAAGTGTGCATGTGTAGGAAAAGAGAGATAGGAAGAAAGGACAGATATAAACTTAAAAAGACCAGGAAAATAAGAGGAAAGGTATGCCACACAATGCAAATAAGGGCTTGATGTTGAGGCATTGCAAATTTTTAAAACTGGATGACAGATGATTAGATATACATTTTTTTTTTTGTCTTTTTCATTTTTATCGGTACCGGGGATTGAACTCAAGGCTGGCTGCTTGCAAGGCAGGTGCGTAAGCCGCTGAGCTAAATCCCCAGCCCCGATTAGATATACATTTGAGAAAGTTACCTTTAGTCTGCTATGGATAGAAGCTTAGAGGAAAGACAGTAGCAGAAATGTGAAGACTAATTTACAAACCTATGGCAATAATTCAGACAAAGATATAAGGCGACCTGTACTAAGGTTGTACCTTGTACCTGAAAAATGGAGAGAAGGGAATTGAGGGACCTTGAAAACACAGGTGACACCATTAATTGAAACAGATCAGAAAGAATGAGAAACAAAGCGTGGCAGAACAGGCAAAAAACCAAATGTTTCAGTTTGGGAAAAAAATGAATATAAAGCTTTTGAGTAATATTCAAGTTGAACTGTCTTGAAAGGACATAGTTTTGCATAGGTGTAGAAATGTGTTTCTGAGTAGTTTGTATTCATGTTCCCTAAGGAGCCACCTTTTAGCAGTTTTTCCTAATTGTCTATGCGCAGGAAGTTTTAAACTGCAAGGGTATTGCACTTAAAACTAACGTTCTATATGTAAATCTGTGCTTTGTGCACATATAGAACGTTAGTTTTACGTGAATTCGAATTTTTTTTATTCCCCTAATACTAATTTTCTAATCCTTGAGTGTATTAGTCTTGCTGATGATACATGGCTAGACCTTACAGGAATAAAATGACTTTGGAGCACCAATTTGTTAGGTCTCTGTTACAAAGATCAGTTATTTGAACAAATGAATCTAGACAATTATACAGAATTTTAAAAAATAAGTCTAACCTTAAGATCAGAGTTGACCCAATCCTAAGCTCAACTGGCCAAGAAATGCAATGAAAAGATAAAACTAAAAACTGAACCTGAATAGAAGTTAGCTGGGTTTTGGTGTGGTGATTGATGGTAGGGATTGTTGGGCAGGTGGACTGAGTTAACAGAAGATCAGGTAGTGTTCCCTGCCACTGAGTAACCATCATTCAGGACAAACACACATTTAAAGGATAAGACAAACCAATCATTCCCTCATTACAGAAAATTACATTCAAAGCTGGAAATTTTTGCCATGACTAACCTACTCAACTCCACTTGCTTCCTTTCCAGCAACTTCCTACTTTAAAATGGGTGTGGGGAGATCTTTTTTTTTTAAAATGAAAAGGTAAACCAAGAGATGGAGGCAGCAGGAAAGAATGGAAAGGGAAGGGAATGAATAGAGAATCAAGATGTGTTATGTACATGTACCAACTTTCCATGAGGAATGCGATCAATTTGTATTACAAACAGGTATCAATAAAATAAAAGTCTCTATAAATAAACAAATAAAATGAAATGAAAATGTATAAATGTACATGCTACAACTCAGAAAAATATTTTTTAAATAATTAAAATCAGATAGTCAAAGAGGTGCTATGTTATATCACCTATTATTAACATATTGATTCAAAAAAGAACACACTGTTACAAACTATAATCTATAATCTCACATGTTGACTTTCACACCTGTGATGCATTCAAACGTAACCTGTGCCTATTCAACACATAATTCCAGGACTACCTCCTGGGCTGGGCGTACAGATCAGTGATAAGAGTTCTCGTCTAGCATGTGAGAAGCTCTGGGGTTGATCTCCAGCACCACCAAAAAAAAAACAAGGCTCCTGGCATTTTATAAACATGATTCTATGAACACTTAGTCTACTACTTAATACCTTGTTTAAAAGCAACATATATTTCATAACATCTAGCTGAGTGTTTTAAAAGAGTACTTCAAAAATAATGGCTCCATTATAGCTCGGCAAATTGCCACTAACACGTGCAATGTTAAACACGCCCTTAAGAAGCTTATATCCCTAGGCAAGTTACTGGATCTTAGCTTCCATACAGATAGATTAAGAGAACTGAAGGTAGATGACAACTCTAAATTCACTTTCAAATCTGAAAATATTACTGGAGCACATCTAAGTATAAGTAGACACAGACAATAAAAACTAGAATAAAAATGAAGATACAGTTATAATCTCACTTCAGAAGGCAATATTTCCAATCTTGGGTCAATTAAAGTTATCTGTGAGTTCTGATGTTTATACGTTAACCTGGAAGGCTAAACAGATTTGTAAATTTCTCTACAACTTCATGGTTTCATTCATACTATCATTTCAGATGAGACCTGCTTGAAAGCTTTCATAAATATAACAGACTTTGCATCAAAGCTTTCTTTCTTTTACTAAAGACCACTATAGGAGCAAAATTTTCTTTTTTCCCCCCTTTAAATCAGCGACAACTTGGGGATCTTAGAGCCCACTGTCACTAGTCTATACCTTTCCTCCGGATGTTTCTTTCATGAGAAAGTAGATGAAAGATTTGTGTGCACTATTAAGACAAGCATATCTACCTCTACAATTGTAGAAACACAAAAAAAATTGTTCAGAAATACCTGTAATATAGCTAAATAGCCAACAACTACTGAGACTAATATATCAAGAAATCTATGATTAAACAAAAATAAACCAGATCAATCTCAATCTTTATTCATGAGCAAAAAGAATTCAGAATTAGGATTCTGCAACACAGTATAGTTTGCAGCAACTACCAGTTTAATAAATGTTACATACTTCAGTGAAACACGGATCCAAGCTACTCAGAGACAATATAAAGCCAACACTAATTTAAGGGGAGAGCGCTATCATTGGCTGCTGAATTGAGGCCACCAAATGGAGGCCTCAAATGGCTTAAGGAGCAAGCCACATATTGCTAAGTCTAACACTAAAAAGTCCACTCACTGAATATAAAATGAAGCCCAATTCCCTCATCATTCCTAACTATATTTTACAGTTGTGCAATTAAAAATAAAAATAAAAATTTCCAAATAAATTAGAAAGTAAGCTTAATAAAAATGAAAGGTTCAAATAAGAAGTGTTTTCTTAATACATTGTATCTCATTTACGAGCTAATCTGCAGCAATACGTCTCAGGACCCAGATTCTTCATTTATGTTCTCACATTTTCAGGAAAAATTTCACAACGCTGCCAAAGTATTCTTCCTGCCTCAGTTACTCTCTTCCTTCCTCTCCTTAAACGAAAAAAGTAAAAAGGAAAGCTTTTCAAAAATATGAAAGTAAATCAAAATATATTTGCCCAAGACCTTTTCTCTTCTTTGATAGACATAAACAATGAAAGTACATTATATTTGTACTAATCACATTAAAATCAGTGATTAAGAAAAAGGGTTGGATAAAACAGTTAATTTTGCTGAAATTAAGAACTTAAATACACTGTAAGACTACTTTGGAAATAAAGTAAAGCTAAACTGCTTGGAAAAACTTGCTCAGGTTAAAAAATATGCTTTAGCAGACATTGCTTGACAGGATTCCTTTTGTATTACTGTTAAGAGATTTATCTGTCTAATGAGTAATTATCACTGTTAAACACAATTTCTTATTCACATATTGTTTCTTTAAGATACGTTTAATGTGGCGTAAGTGTCAAATAAACAATAAGATGGATGGAGTTTCTCCAACCACTCTGTTCATTCCAGAAAAATAATGTTAAAAGCAGATTCTGTAATAAATCATGGCCTACTTGTCAATCTGGAGCAAAATTCCCTTGCATATACAATACAAAGTTTGGGAATATAAGCATACATTTGGATTACATTGAAGAATACTGTTTTTATCACAGTTGAATTCAAGTAAAAAGTAATTTGTTAGTGACCTTCAAAATCTGAAGAACTGTAACTCTTTAGTCTCTGAATAATGAAACATACATCTTAATAACACTGTGAAATTAGTAACTCTCCTCCCCATTATGTACCTAGAATCTATGTATACATCAAGAGAATTGCCACTTTAGATTTTGTAGATAGTGCAGAATACCAAAATCGTGATAAAATTCTCAGAACCTTCTAATGGTCCCACAAAAAGCATAGAATACACAAACCTATAATACTGATGCTGAGGATAATATCTTATTTGGTGATTTCTATGGGATACAGTCTAGCCAAATAATACACTTTGCAGTGAGTACTTAAAACCC